TGGAATATTTCAATTTTTAGAGAATTTAAAATCAAAAAATTAAAAATCTGGGAAAGTGTATTTCAACTTTCAAGTAGACTAATTCAAATCTGTTTTTATAATTCTTATCGCCTCCCTAGATAAACCGGTCGTTGGAATGAAAAAAAGTCTAAATTCCTATGTTCCTCGTGTGTTAGACAATAAGACAATATCGGCGTCTCCGCAACCCCCTTAAAATCTTATTTTGCTATTTGATTTACTATAAATCAATAATTATCTTAGTAAATTTAATTGATATTATATAATATAAAATTACTCATTCAACTCTTACTACGCTATAATATAATAGTATGTATTCTACCCTCGAGAACTGCAGGGTGCGATAGCCTATACTTACATAGTATACCGTATGTCTGTATACTATATTACTATTTAATTACTATTCCAGACTTTGACTAAATCTATATAAGTATACTTTGGTATCGGGTACGTATCGTCCTATCTGTACCTACGTTTTTAGAATCTGTAAATATAACTTAGAATTAACTTTTTTATATCAGTCCATATCAACTTGGTCCTGAAGACCGGCCAGTGTAGTTTGAACTATAGCCAATTAACTAAACTCTTTAACTTGGTACTTTGGTAGTATTAAATGCAGGTATTTGCCTATTTGCAGGTAATTGGTGAACGGTCACTTTGAACGGCCCCTTGTTTGAAATGCATAACTCGGACACTTTGTACTATATTATATATACATAAAGTTCATACAGTGGCGTCCGCAGGGGGGAAGCTAATGCGCTGAACCCCCCACCCCCCATTGCCCGTATTGTTATTACTTAAAAAAAAATATTTATCAAGTTTCAACTGTCAACTATAGGAAGCAAGACGTAAATTTCATTACGTCTTACCAGAATGAATTCATTTTGAAAAAAGGTGGGCAAGTGGGTGTCGCTCTGCTGTACAGTAGGTTACAAGTGGGTCACTATATAATGGATGATATTAAATTTGAATTCAACGATATAATATCATTGTATAAGAAAAACGATTCTGAGCGCAGACGGTATGTCAGTCTATGTATAAGACATATTATATACATATCTATGGTATTAAACAAAAAATTGACCTATAATGGGTACCTATAATAAATTCCAAATTAATCATATCAAAATATCCATTAGGTACTTATAACGCGTTATACATCAACAAAAACCGTGATACTATCATAGATATATAATAGTACACTTTAGAAGTTTCAAGTATCCACGAATAATATTATTCAATAACAACAAAATAACTAAAATAGTTATTCTAGGTTTTTTAATATGTAATTTCGTCCAAATTTGAATTTAAAATGTCTGTAAAAAATAACTGTGTTCATATATTTTTTAGATTTTTTGGTTACAGTATGAACTATTTACGAGAACCTTTGTGTTGAATTTGCAATCCTTAGCTATAAAAACTGAACATTTTATAATTTATTAATTACAATGATTGATAATTTTCGAGATTTTGATAAATTTTGTCAAAATTTGATCTTTAAATGCTTATAAAAAAAAACTGTGCCTATGTATTTTTAATATTTTTCAACTGATATTATAACAATATATCAGGAGCCTTGTATTAAATTTTTACACTTTTTGGCCCAACAGATAAAACTTTATTGATATTTATAGAAAAAAAAACTAAAAAAAATTGAAAGCTGTAAATGTCCATAAACAGCTCAAAAAGAGTCAAAATATTTTCAAAATTGTATGGTGTATAGAAAATGCTAATTTAAACATTCAGTGAAATTTTCATGTATCTACAGTTATTTGTTTTTGAATTACAACAAAATAAGGAAATCGCTACATGGGAAATCGAGTGAATATTCAATGTTGTAAAAATTTGAATTTCAAACGCTCATAAAAATTTAATTTGACTTTCTTATAAACATTTTTCTTTTGATAAAGGTAGACAAACTTATAAGGAATCTTGTGTTTAATTTTCAAATCTTAGATTTAAAAAGAAAAATTTTTACGAATTCTCAACTCAAAATAATTTGCTAATTTTCGTGATTTTCCCATATTTTGTCAATTTTTGAACTTTAAATGCTTATAAAAAAAAATTGTGACTAAGGATTTTTAATATTTTTCATCTGCCTTTGAAGCAATATATTAGGAGCCTTCTATTAAATTTTCAAGCTTTCGCAACCAACAAATAAAATTTTATTGATATTTTTAGAAAAAAAACTAAAAAAAAATGGAAAATGAAAATGTCCCTAAACAGTTCAAAATAAATCAAAATATTTTGAAAATGTTATCGTGTATAGAAAATGCAAATATAAACAACCAGTGAAAATTTCATGTATATACGTTCATTTGTTTCAGAGTTACACCAAAAACCAAAATCGATTTTTTGGAAAACCAATTTTGCGTAAAAATTCCCGTTTTTCCTTAATTTTTATGTTGTTTTTCCCGGCGCTTGTGAAAACTACTGGGAAATTTATACTTTTGACCCCCCAAAGTACCAACTAGATTCACTTTCCTATCAGAAAAGCTACTGATGAAGAAAATCCAAGCACTTTTACTGTCCTAAAACGTGATGACAGACACAAAAATAAAAAAATAAAAAAAAAAATAAAAAAAAAATAAAAAAACACACATCATTGTAAAATCAATACATTCATCGTTTCACTCAGAATCTAAAACATTGTACTTGCATACCAATTTTCCTAAAATTATCTGTAATTTTTTTGGTAAAATTATGAACTACTTGCATTACATTTTCTAGATTTGAACTTTAAATGATTATAAAATATAACCATGATGCCTATGTATCTTTAATATTTTAGCATTTTTAGCTATAATAAAAACTTACCTACGTATTACATTTTTAAGCTTGTTGACCGGATAAATATTTTTTTATTGACATTTATAGAAAAAAAAATGTTTATTAATCAAATACAATCCAAGGGAGGCTGTATAACCAAGCTGGTTGCCAAACAATTTTAATATATTTTCATTTTTATTTCTCCTATTATTTTAAAAAGCACTGAGCATTTTCAATTTCGACCTCCTAAAAGTACTAACTAGATCCAATTTGCTTCCAAAAACATACAGCATCGAAGCTTATGATCAGAGCATTTTTTCTACCAGAAAAGTTGAAAAGTTACAAACATTTATAATACCTCAAATAAACGTCTGAAATTATTAGACTGGACAAAATAAAAATTACTAATTTTCAAGCCCTCCCCATTGAAAAATCCTACGTACGCCACTGAGTTCATATGTAATATAAACAATTTTGAAGTCATAACCATGCCTTGTTATTAAGTTTAAATATTATTTGGTATATCTAAGTATCTTAAACATTCCAAATAGGAGGGAATGGTAGGTTATTACCTATCGATAGTAATTTTTATTTGTCATTTTGACATATTTATATTGTACACATTCTTTATTTACTTTTTAACATAACTTTTGATAATATAATACAACTATAATTTATGATCATATTTGATTATTTTGATAATTTCAAGATTTTTTATCATAAGTTCCAGCCCCTAAATTAATTTATAAATATATTATAGTACCAAGTAATATTTGGCTGTTATCTAACCAGTTGCTTAAAAGAACTTTGATTATTTTGAATTGTTAATATTTTATAGGTATACTTAATACTTAGATATATAACTTATATTTACAATATATGCTTTACGTATGTAGATAGTACAAGTCTGAATTCTGAAATTAAAATGTTTACAAATTGTCCAAGTTTCGCACTATATTAATGCTCGACCGTACAAATAGTGACCTAGAACCTTTTATTTATTCAAAAGAAAGAAGGACCGAGTGCAATATGCAATAATATGCATAGGTATTATCTGGCCATCTGGGGGTGGCAATTGGCAAGGGAGCAACTGCCGTCTCAGGTATTTAACTTATATGAGAACACACTCGTGAAAAGTTATTTTCCGGGACAAATTGTACTATTGAAACAGACTGGACACTTAAAATGAGTTTTATATCATATACGATGATGTACGTGCCAAACCTGCATTGCAGCCGGCGAGATGGGTTAGCCGGTGGATCCGTAATAATAATATTATTGTGCAGCTCTATACACATTTGTTTTAAAGTTTCGTTCGAAAACCAAAAAACGTATTCTGCGTTGTATTTTTTTGTGGTAGGTTTTTCTTTATCTTATAGCTCGACGGTTTTTATCGTGTGGTGGTGGTGGTGCATACAGAATAATACAAGAAGAACATGACCAAACGAATCGGGAAGCATCAGACGGCGGCTACGGTCCATGGCCGCCGGTCAAGCGCGTCGATTGCGGTGGAGGTGGTGGAGTTGGTGGTAGTGGTGGTGGTACGAACCAGGACTGAGGACGGTTCGGTATTACATTAGTGGCGTGCGTATATAGTATGCCTATAATAGTATAATCTACCAGAGTGGTAGGTAGAATTGGTATTATATATTATATAGCTGTGATGTAAAATAATAGTAATAATGACGGAGGAATAAAAAAAAAATTACGGGGGGCAAAAAAAAAACGAAAACGGAATTAAATACGAAAAAAACCCATTTTCGATCAAACCGGAACGGCTGCACGTATTTTTCCAGTGTCTAAACACGACGGCGTGCGACGCGTATATTATAAAATATTATTATTATTATTAAATACGTACACATTGTGCATTATACGTAGGTACGCGTAGCGCACTTTGCCGGGCGTGCTTGGGCCCGCGAGGGTTCTGCGTGTGGGCGGGAGCGGGCGAGGGGTGGGCCGCGGCCGGTAGGTGTGCGCGGCCGTGTGCTGACTCAACATTACATACATTTGGTGGCAACCGACCGGCGGCGGTGGCGGCCAAGGTCAACGCGATCTGTTGGCTGCGCCGAGTCACGGTCCGCCACAGCCGGGCACGGCCGCACCGCATAATATAATATAGCGGGTTTACGTGTGTCTGGTTATACGCATTATATTATATTGTAATATTATTGTTGTTGTTGTGCGTCGTTCTTTCGCCTCGCCGAACGTTCCTAATAATTATCATGGCCGTCGTCATCGTCTTCATCATCATCATCATCATCATCATCATCATCATCATCATCGCATCGCTCGCGCTCACATATATTTGTATAATCACCATATGCACGCGCATAACGAAAAATCATGATACTATTACCGTATACCAACAGTACTGCAGTTGTAATGGTATGCAGGTAGGTAGTTGGTACACGCACAGCCACGATGCGGCGGTAGAGAAATGAATAAAACGCCACGCCGAATATTCGGTGCTCTGCCGATGCGTCCGCCGCTGGCCGTCTCATCACGGTCCGGACACCGCCGAGGCCGCAACCGGACGTTCGCGCGCGTCGCCTCCCCCCCGCACCTCATTCGCCCAGCGCAGTCGTTGTCAGTCGCCTCACGAAAAACACGTCGCGGCGAGGTCGAATGGGGTGGCGGTTTCCTCTGTAGATTTTTCGACCACGTCTTATGCGGAGACGCGCCAACGCTATATTATGTATAATAATAGGAAATAACTGTAAACGAACAGATTGTATAATATCTGTTATACACGCATATTATTATTTTGGGACTTGAATATACTTGATGGTTATTATTATTATTATTCGAATAACATCGTGAGCTATATTTGAGACTAACTATATAATATGTTTCGAATACGAGCACCGGTGACGGTCTTTTGAGGCCTGTAGTCAAATAAAGTTTTTAGAGCCTCTAACGGCTCTAACTTTAAAGGTGGGGCCCTCAGTATGCGAGGCCCTAATGAGGCTCTGGGAAAATTCCCAGCCTGGTCCGAGCAAGAGCGTAATACTGCGATTTAATAGTTACAGAGGCTAAGTCCCAGAAAACCAAAGTTCTAAATAAGCCGTGGAGGCAAAGTCATCATAAGCGTCACTAGACGACTATGGGTTCAACAAAAATGAGTTCGAGGATGATATTGTTTCATTGTAGAATCGGCATCGAAACAATAGGTTTTTGGATTGCGGTTTAAGACATCGAAAGACCTAACTTTCCATTAACCAAGGGGGATTCATATATTTTCTATTGAATTGAATACGAATATGGAAAAATATTTTTAAAACACTGTCGACTACTATTGGGCTAAAGACTAAACATAATACATAAAATGTTAAAATGTGCAGTGGCTATAAATGGTAATGTGAAATAATTGTTCTGACTCAATGAGATTTGTAATTATTTTAGTGTAGACGTGTATATATAGTATACTATAGTTGCACAACCCGGGAGTCGCCAAAAACTAATTTATATTAAGATCAGTTGAATTTTGTGAAGGAGGGTCGCGTAATATTTATTGTACTATATTTTAAGGTTAAAAATACAAAGAGAACCATTCTGGTATATAGGACCTGTACAATAGGTATTAGGTGAAGCTAATTTAACTTTCATTCGTTATTAGATATTCCAAGCCCAGTAATTAATCAAAAATTATCACCACCATTTTGTTGTGAAATATTATTTCAATTAAAGTTGATGTATGGTTTTATACTTTTATATTCCGAACGGAGTGATTAGGTTTAGAATGATATAGGTTTTTTTGTGCTTCATACTCTAATCATTAAGTAACATACAGTAATCGTCTTTTAGAGTAGTAAAAATTGTTCTATTATCAATTTTGAGGATGGTTTTCGGTAGCAAATTGGATCTAATTATGTTGAAAGCAAAAATTTCCCGAGACATTTCCAGATAACTATGAAAAACAAAAAAAAGTTAGGAAACCGGGAATGTTTGCAAAACATTAATTTTTGTCAAAATTTAGTTTGTTATTTTGTTATAATTAAAACGTAACCATACTTTAATATTTCTTATATAACATATACTTGAAAATTCACTAAATATTTATTTTAATATGTTCGCATATAATATAATTTTCAAAATATTTCGGCTAGCTTTTTGATAGTATGTTTATAGATATTTTTGGCAAAAGTTAGTTTAACTGAATAGAAAAATAAATTACTTATAGCAATATAAATAATTCATAAAATATCCTTAACAATAGAGGCTGATACACAATCTCCGCTCAGCGAGTGGTTTTTTGTATGCAATGGATATTGATAATATTGAATTCAAATTTAACATATCCATTACAATGACCTACTTAATGACAACTAGTAACATTAGAAATCCACAATCAGATTTCCCCAGTTTTTTTAAAAAAAAAATGGAATTCGTAGTTGTATTAAGACAATTTATTGTGTTAGGTCACTCGGGTAGTAACATAACGGATGTAACGCGTTATTTCGTTTATAGCACGATACGTAATTTCGTTAGAACTATTCCCATGTAACGAAAATTTATTTTTGATAAATATAATTTCTATAATATAAAGTTTTATCATATTTACCATTTACCATACAAATGTAATAGGTATATAATATAAATAATAAATAAACATATATATATATATATAATATATACATTAAATTAATTTAGTTACTTGCACAGTAAATCACGAGAAAAATTAATTAATTAATTAAACTTTTCTTGAAATACAAGCTGGACGTTTCCAATATGAATATAGGTGGACTTTATGTTTTATATGTATTAGTATTAACTATACAATTTAAAAGTTAAAAATGAATAATTGTTATTTACATGTTATTACAGTTACTGTATAATTTATTTTTTTATTTTTTCACCCACTTCTTTTCCAAATTATACTTATATACTATTTCTACATAATATGCTTGTTGAATGTTACCCATGAATTGTTTTTTTTTCTGCAACAGGAGTAAGTAGGTATTACCTAGCGTACTAATGTAGTTGTATGTTTAATTTAAAAGTTATGTAATTTCTTTACCATTTATTTTAGAAACGAATAAAGTAAGTTACCCGACACCAGTGGCGTACGCAGGGGGGGGGATAAATGGCTGAAGCTCCCCCATTGCCTGTATTATTATTACTTTTTTCAAGCCTTAGCTATACAAATAAAAACTTATGATGAACCTTGTATTAAATATTTAAGCTTTTTGACCAAACAAATAATTATTTATTGAAATTTTTAGAAAAAAAAACTAAAATTAATCAAATGCAATCCAAGTGAAGACCCTAATCAGGGTTAGGTACCAAACAATTTTAACAAATTTTCATTTATTTTTGTTATTCCTGATTATTTTAAAAAATACTGAGAATTTTCTATTTTGACCTCCCAAAAGTACTAACTAGATCCAATTTGCTTCAAAACACTTCCTTTGAAGTTTATGGTCAGAGCATTTTTTCTACTAGAAAAGTCGAGAAGTTGAAGCTGCACAAACATTTACAAATACCTCACCTAAACGTCTGCAATTATTAGACTGGAAAAATTAAAAATTAAATTGTAATTCATTTTCAAGGCCCTCCCATTGAATAATCCTGCGTGCGCCACTGCCCGACACTAAATTAAAACTTGACATTTTACTGCACTTATGTTTGCCCAATTCCATAATGTTCGTACATGATTAATACTAATTACAATTATTTTTATTTAAAATATTAAATAACCGCTAAATGGTACTGCGTCTCGATTTGTAGACAGTACCTATGCGCTACCAGTAAACCAGTTATAATCAGAACAGCACCTCAACCAAATACCAGTACTAGCTAGTGGTTCAGTACTAAAAATCCAATACTGGAATAGCGTTATCATCCCAGACATACGCCAGTACATAGCCAATACTAGCTGTAAGTAGCGAGCCAAAATCAGTCGATACTATTTCAGTCAGACCACCACATTAAATTTTGGGCACCTGTACCAAATGTTTTTCTGGGCCCTAGACAAAACTTCCAATAAAATACAACCCATTATAAAATCGATATGAGTGTCCCGTACACGATTTCAAGGTAATAAATAGTTAACCCACAGCGTAGAATAACAAAATTACTATAAAATAAGTATCCTATCAACATATCAAAAGTTACTAATACATTTCAACAGGCCCCTAAAATATCCAGGACATTGGCACAGACTGCGCCTGAAGTAAATTTCCGATTGAGCGTCCTGTATAAACTTACTGTATAAATTTATTGCGACCACATTAGTAATTATTTTTATAATTCTAATATGATTGTGTTGATTTACACGGTATTTGAAATGTTGATTTCATATTATGACTAGAAAAGCAAGAGCTATAACTGCTATAAGACGTATCCTTAGACTTCCTGCAGGTTTTGCAGCAATAAGTAAACTTCGTTTTCGATTTGTTGTCAATAACAATAATAAGTTGTTGACTTTTTCTAGTATTAGACTAATATTCTAATGAGGACTTTGTGTTCTAATATGACAATTTCATGAATGTAATGTAATTCATATCGTAATTATTTTATATTTTATCTTTCTATTTATAGGTACAGCAGTATAGTTTCGACTTAAACATTTTTCAATTGTACTTCAATTGTTTTTTCAAAACAATTCCTATGGAATTACTAATTACCATATAGTTATATTAATTACATATTTGTCACTGTGTGTAAAACACTAAACATGGAGGGACCTTTTTCTATGAACAATACGCTGTGTAGTGTGTAAATAGTTAGGTAGGTAAATCTTCGAGTTCACGCATAACTACAATATACCATGAGGCAGAAGATATCTAGCAAAAAATAACAATTCCTTACCCATACTGATAAAGTGATAAATGATAATTTACTATATACCTATAATTATTAATTTATAAACATTTAAAGTAGGTACCTAGGTATAAAAATAAATGTATGAATAGTATGGTATGAAAAACATAATTGTCATTTCAAATCTTGTTCAAATAAAGTTGTTTGATTCAGTTTAGAATACCTAGAGGATATTTTTAAATAATGATTTGGTCACGAAGTTTGGAGTCTCCGAAAGAAAAAATAATATTAACAGGTACGACGACGATGACGATGACGATGACGATGACGATGACGATGACGATGATAAAAAATGAACGATAGAATTTTTTGCTTATGTCATCAAGGAATTTTTGATTTTTAAACCTTCCTACAATGTTTTTAATTTAATATTTATATAATATATGTAACTACATTGTAACACCATTGAATTAAATAAATATATAAAATAAAATATGAATTTGATTTTTTTATGAGTCAAGTTTAATTAAAAATAATATAAAATTATCAAAAGGCTGCAAGTCTCGGTAGATACGAAAAGTAAAATAATCGAGTTTGTGAATTGTTTTAATATTATTTGTACTAAAACATCTTTATTTTTGTTATTTTATTAAAAATATCATAAATATAAGTCATGAGTATATTTTCATCGACTTTTCATATTGCACCTTATTTATAAAAATAAAAAGATACTAAAAAG